CTTAACTCCTCATTTTCCTTCTCTTTATCATTCTAAGCTGCTGTAAATTTTGGCTATTGAGAATAAAGCTGCTATGAAAATTCAAGTGCAAAACTTATATTTTTCTTGGATAAGGTACCTAGGAATGAGGAACTGTGGTTTTAGTAGTAAGAAATATTTATCTTTCCTATGTCAATTACCCTGGAAAAAATGAAAAATACAAACATTTCTTAGTCATATTTCATAATAAAATTTATCAGCACACCTGTTGTGAGATAGTTGAACTCACGCATTTTCCACCTCTGAAGAGTCACACACTATCATACATTCAACATATTCCAAGATAATGCTTACTAACATGTAGGAAGATACTGTTCTTTACAAACTTCAATATATTATGAATAAAATGCATTCATATTATATATGAACAAAGAAGTCTTATTGAGAACTCTGTTGTGATTTTCTCTTTAGAGCAAAGGTAAGAGTTGCAAAATCTCTAATTTTAAAAGAGGATGATTTCAATTAGTCCATCTTCAAGGAAATATATTTATAAACTGCCTACATACTTCTTACACCAGTTATGTCTGCTTTAATTAAGGAAGGAAAATGTTCCTCATTTCCCAAGTGAGAAACATTTCCTAAAATCACATCCCCAGGGTTGTTCTTAGTCTAAACTTCCATATAGAAATGTCTGGAATAGAAATTTTTAAATATCAGAATCCAAGTGTCTAAGCTTTCACATTCAAAAGTGCAGAGAATCTCAACATCAACAAACTATATTTCTACGAAAATCAAAATTACAACTTATATATCCCTTATTTAAATAATAGTGGTGTCACGTTAGAGTTAACTGTAGGTAATCACTGGATTGTAATGCATGCAGAGATGAAGAAAATTTCAAGGGTTCCTAAATATCATTATAAAAATGAATATTTTACATTATGTAAAATTATGATTATTATGATCTCTAGAGAAAGATATATAAAGATTATGAACAAATAAACTTCAGTAATGACAAAGTAAAATTTTTACCTTCATTTTCAGTTGCTTTCTAAAATTACTAGTTAGTCTCAACCTCATTGAATTAATGAAAATAAAATGTATCCCATGACAGATTTTTGTGGCAGAACCTAGTCCTTTAAAAAGCATATGAAACAAAAATAGCACGAGAAGTTTCCGGGTACAAATTATAATATATTATAATATTTAGATCCCCTCAACCAATTCTTGGAAACTCAACGTCATTGTTTGTAAACTAGTCATATAAAATGATTCTAAAAGTATAAATGAGTTTACATCGACCAGTTGACTCTGACAAGCTGCCATCCCACCACCTACCACAGATAGCATCCAACAGAAGCTTGTGGTGCTTAAAACACATTTCACCACCTGCCAAGGAGGCAGACTCCACGGTGGAGAAGACTGGAGCTGTAAGACACAGGTGACTAAGTGCCACACAGTGGCAGTGGTGCTGGCCAGTGGAGCAGGGGTATGCATTGTGTATCCCCCAGACCCCAAGAAGGCTGCTCTGCCTGCATCAGTGTACCCTTGTATGGCACAGAACTTGCAGAATTTTAGCTTCTGTGGAGTTCTCTGAGGACGAATGCACGTACTGCCATCAGGCAGTTAGAGGTAAAGACATCAAGATGCTTTCAATCCTGTATCCTGAAGAGGCTGAACTTTGTACCTGATTGTACAGCAGGTTAAATTCTACATACCATCCTCTCTGGAGCTGCTGCCACAACTTCTCCTGGTGGGTGAAGAGTCATCACAGTGCTTTTTCACAGGGGGAATGTAAGAAGGAATGACAGCCTGGGCACAGCTCTGCACAAAGTGAAACACCTCCTCCTTGGAGGGAGAGTCAAGGTCATCAAAAAAGATACCCCCAATACCCCTCCAGTCCCCATGATGGGCTATAAAAAAGTCATCGTCACATCATTTTTAAAATTTTGGGTAGAGATCTGCACCATGTTGGTCACAAGCCTCCTTTAGAGTCCCATGAAAATGGACTGCATCCTCTTGGTTCAAGTATGTTGGGGTAAGGTCACATCCACCACCAAACCACCACTGCTTGTTACCTACCAGATCAAGACATGTGATTCTGATGTGGACTTTGAGATGCCAAGGAAATGTATTATAATTCTGATGTCTGGGTATGGGGCATACTGGAGTCTCAGTAATAGGAAACACACTAGGAAAGAGTGAGCTGGGACTGGGCTAAGGTTTGGGATTCGAGGGAGAGACATGGCCATGGAGGTTGGCTCTCAGCAGGCTGTGGGAATGTCCAGGGTTTCTGATGAGTCCAGAGTTCTCAGCTAAATCCTCAAGGTTGGTCTGTAGAGCACACAGTCAAGGCACTGGCATCTGGACTGGCCAGAATGGCAGTTAACTGAGTGTTCAGTAGCCAACCAGGGGTCCAACACCTCTGGGGAGATCTGACAAAATGTAGCAGCACCTCTGCCAACTACTGTGTCCTCTGGTCCTAGCACCAAGTAGGTGCTCATTAACAATCTGTTGTGTGAACAGATGGGGAAAGAAATGAAAATAAAGTTCATATTTTGGGGACTGATAAGTACCAGGCAGGAATCTGCTTCCAACCTTTGCCCTAGACTCCTAACCAAACAGGAAGAATCTGGAGAGATACCTCTAGTGGTGGTTTTGTAGATTCCTTTGGGATTTCTACATAAACAATTATATCATCTGCAAATAGGAGCAGTTTTGCCTTTTTCTTTCTGATCTTTAAGCCTTCTACTTCATTTTCTTGACTTAGTGCAATGGCTCGAACCTCCAGTGTATTGTTGAATAAAAGTGATAAAAGCAGACATCTTTGCCTTCTTCCTGATCTTAGGGAGAAATAATTCAGTCTTTCACCATTAAGTATGAAGTTAACTGTAGGTTTTTTGCAGATGTTCTTTATTTCTAGAAATTAATAGTTGAATTTAGAGGCTTGATCAGATTGAGGTGTAATTTTTTTGGTGTGGGGCAAGACTACAAAGGTGTAATTTTATCAAGGTATATGTAATATCTGTATCTTTTTGTGATATTAGCAGCCATTGACGATTGTTGCCTATAGCAATTATTAAATTATAGGTTACAAACAGTTATATTCTAATTTTGTTAATTTCTTCTTCATTTATTAACTGGGATACTACTATGGAGAAAATTTTTCTTCATAAACCTTCTGGTTACCCTGCTATGCAGTTCCTATAGGAAGGACAGAGAAATGCTTGATTGTTTTCTTTCATTTATCCATTTTCAGAATAGTGAGTTGGTTCCATAGCATCTTCCAAAGGTGTTTTTAAAACATAAGCTATGAATTCACTATGTATTTCAGTCTATTTAGTCATTCTTATTGATGATAAATAATTGTGTACTTTTCTAAGTTCTTTTGGAATTTGGTATTTATCACTTTCCCTCTAGGTTTGTAGTTAGGTCTTCATTCTTTGTATAATCCATGTCTTCTGCTAAGATCTGACAATATAAATACACTCTTGCTTGCATGATTAAGGACAGAAGGAAGATGTATTGAAAGACTTATTTCTAATATCTATGAATAAAGAATGGAACTGTTTGCCTCTGAATCACACTTCAGCTATATGGCAGCATATTCTAAGAAACCTTGGAAATTTGTGAATAAAACGATAAAATCAAACTTTTCTTTGACTGGAACCTACAGAACAAGCTTTTGGTGTCAAGGCTATTATGTTAAAGGTGATATATGTCAGAATAGAAGTCATAATTTTAAATTTCTTGGAAAAAAACCAAGCATTGGAAAACCCTATATATTCCTGTATAACTACAGAGGAAAAAGTCTGACACATACTGTGTATTTTTGCTGTAATGTTAACTTCATGTGGTTTAGCTGTTTGCCTTGAGGCATGTGTACATAACCTTCTGAACACCCATTTAGCTTATAATATGCCAGTTTCCTAACAATTATTATTGTTCTAAAGTATAACATTTCACTGTTCAACATCAAATACGTACACAAAGGGAATTAAAATTTATGGAGTTTCTTGAGCTTACACAGTGTCTCTACATAGTAAGTGTCGAAAATGGTTTCTTTTCTATTAGCTTTATTTTAATTTTTCCCCTGATTATAAAAATAATATGGCAAACATTTAACAAAATAGGGATCACCATAATCCTGCCCACAAAGTAATATATTAAATTGCATACCTAGATGAAGATCTAAGTGTAGATACTCACAAAGATCTTGAAGGAGATTTACATTTACTTTACCAAAAAATACAGGCAAGTTATTTCTGACAAAACATAGGTGATTTAAAAAAAAAAAAAAAAAACTTTCACAAGTTTCGAACAGTTTGTATTTTTGGCAATGAGTGTATAATGTATGTGTATACATAATATACATATATGTGTGTATACATACATGCATGTGTATATGGGGGGCAGAGGAAGGGGGGGAAGGAGGAGAGGTGTACATATGCAGAGAAAATTTCTGAAATGAATGGCACCAACATGATTTAACAATTACAGATAACATTTTTAAGGGAGATTTGTTGTTAGTGCCTAATGTCTGTTACAGTACATACTAGCCAAACAGAAAATGTGTATTATATCAGTTTGTATTGGTTTAAATTTCATAAATTTAAGAACTTTTGATTAAAATATATTCACTACCATATATAAAATAAATAACCAACAAGGGCCTACTGTATAGAAATTATAAAACAGTTTTTTGTGGTTATACAGCAATGGAAATGAAACAGAACCCTAGGTGGTTCCTAGGTAGAGAGTCTAAATTCACGTATTATGTGAATAATTCCTATGAAAAAGGGGTTTCCTTTTAAGATTAGACATGTGTTTCTTTAGTTTCTGTCAAATCTCTTTACTAAAATTACTAGATTGCTCGTAGAAATCATTTCATCCCTCACTGAATTATTCTCCAACATAACTACTTCTTTAGTGGTGCATAGGGGTGGTTTAATGCTAGTAAGACAAGAAGGATGTTTAGTACTGCCTTTCCTCAACCGTTCTTGGTTTCCTTGGCTTTCTAGGATGTGGAGAGCATCTTGTGCGCACCATACTGGCTAGAGAATGTTCACACGCTTTACAAGCTGAAGATGCCCACCAAGCTCTGCTGGAAACTATGCAAAACAAGTTTATCAGTAAGTATAACATTAAGAAAATTACTTCCTTGTAAATAGAGGTTGTTCCTCTGAGCTGTAAGCTTCATGAGTCAGGTGCCACATTTGTACTGCTAGACCTAGGTCCAGGGTTTAGCATGGACTTAGACCCTAAGTTAACATTGGCTGTGAAAAGAAATTCCATCAAAATAGCTACTACTGCATGAAATTTACCATATAACCAATGTAATGCCCAAGTTGTGAGACACTGTCCAGGATTAGAGTCATACACAGTGGAATAAAATTCTACTAAAACAAAATTCAAGGGGCAACCTCATTTAAAAGTTTTTCTGTAATACAATTTGACTCTTTTTAAAAAAAAGTTAGTGTTGTATTCATGAATCCAGTGCTGCCACACACAGTTGTCTAGGGTTGAGTTGAAATCTGGCCTGGCTCCATTTGCCAAACCCATATAACCTGATGTGAGGCTGCGTCTGGTTGGAGGAAGGGATGGCTTTTTCTAATATGCAGGAAGATTTTGTGTAGCCTCGCAATGGCCCTGTAGATAACTGTTACTGTGGATTAAAACTATTTGACTCGGGTTTTTCCCATCATTTAACATTGAGCTTACCACTATGGTAAAGGCTTGTGAAGTTGTATAAAAAATATAAAATGTAGTTAAAAATAAGGGGGACTTAACTGGCGGTCCAGTGGTTAAGACTCCGTGCTCCCAAGGCAGGGAGCGTGGGTTCGATCCCTGGTTGGGGAACTAAGATCCCACATGCCACACAGCATGGCCAAAAAATAAAATAAATAAATGAATGAATGAATGAATAAATAAATAAAATTGAATTAAAAAAAAAAAGACGCGTCCTCTAACTCTTCCCCACAACCCCTATCCCATAAAAAACAAAAAAACAAAAAAAAAACCCCCAAAAACAAGTTAGGGTAATAAGCCATGAACACATAAATGAGGGGAAGAGTATCACAGGGTTAATCTGGGGGGTGTCTCCACATAGAGAATCAAGACAGGATAATATAAGGTGCTAATTATGTGGTGAGGACAACACAGATGAAAGCGTAGGAAGAAATCACCTGAAAAGGATTCATGGATGATGAACTCCTAGAACTGGCCCCAGGAGGCCGGGAAAGGTGGGGAAGAAAGGAGTGTGAGCACAGACATGACAGTGGGGTTAGGCATGGTGAGGGCTTGACACCTGCATGACTCTTACCTAGAGGGCAGTGTTCCTGATGTGCAGCGGGGCTGGATAGGCCAGGTGAGGCCAGGTCCCGAGGACCTTAAAATCTCTGTGTAGGAGTTCATGTTCGACCTGATAGAAAGGAGAGAACCCTTATGTATTCTTAAGTTGATCAATAAAATGATGTTTTAAAGGAGGGTTTATAAAGTAGATCTCAGGTTGTCCAAGACCATGTCTATAGGAGACCGACATTAGGGGCTGGAATGGTCCAGGCCATGGAGAGGAAATGGTGATTTTGAGGGAGGGGTCCATGGAGAAAGTGGAAATATTGATAGATTTTGCTGCTAGGAGTATGTAGCCCTCTGGGTCCAGTCAGGAGGTAGAAACCATACATTAGGTTAATCAGGAGGAGTTTAATATAAGGAATTGTTAACTATGATGAAAGAGTAACTGGAGGCTGTAAGGAAGCTCTCTGTGGTGCCCTAGATCTGAGAGTGTCCAGGGAAGGACATGCTTGGGAGGGGCTCAGACCTTGTTGGAGAAGGTGTGGTTCAGCAGGTAGCAGAGAAGTTCACTAGTTTGGCCTGGCTGGGACTGGTCTGGAGTTGCTGGGCAAACAATAGGCCACCCTCCGGAGTGCAGTGTAGATGGGGAACAGATAATCAGCACCTGGTGGCTGGGTATGCCGTGGGAGCCCAGCATCAAGGGGGCGTGCAGAGGACACAGGACTGCAGGACACAGAGGCCACAGGGCCCCTGCAGAGGGGACGAACGCTCAGTGTGTGACCACCTGGGCCACAAGGGCTGTGTGCAGGCTGTGCAGGGCCTGGCCCAGGGAGTCCCGATGGGCACCTGTGTGTAACCACTGGGGACCTCTGGTTTCCATGTCGACAGGGCCCAGCCTGCCAGGTCACAGCAGGGCTGCGTCCTGGGCCTGTGTCTGGGGCAGACTTTACCAGATGTCCCACACCTACATTGACTCTTCTCCCCAGCCCATGGTGGACAGTGCAGGCAGGGTGCCTGTTGTAACTCTTTTAATGTTCTCTAACTCGGTTTAATGCCTGACTCCTTGCCCTCGTTCTGTTAGTCCTCTCCATGTAAGCCTGCTCTCTTTTTACATGGCACTTTATATTTGTTTTGCTGCCATTTTGTCTTCGTTGGGTGGCATCTGGATTCCAGGGACTTTCTGTGTCACTGTGGAGGGACCATCTGGCTCATGGCCGCCCTCTTCCCTCTGTTGGCTTGTGCTGGGATGGGGCTTGCGCTCCACCTCCCCATGGGTCACTGGCCTCTCTCCCTGATGAACTCACTATGGTGTCTGTGGTCTTGTTGTAACCTCTGGCTTCTGCAGTACATATAGCGTCCACTGACAGCAGATGCTAGTGGTAATGGGGTCAGGTGGTCTGAAAACATAGAATAATAAGGGGATTGTCAAGCCCTCTTGGCCCAAGCATATCAGGCTACTTTTCCATTCTATTCCTAGAGAGCCTTACCGGCCTGAAGGTGGCATGGCAATGGGCAACGTCCCTACCTGGCTTCCTGTTCCTTTAAGCCTCATCTGTTCTTGGATCCTCTGAATCTAGGGCTTTGTCACTGGCTCCTCTTTTTCTTCCACACTCACCAGCTTGGGAAGAGGAACAGAAACCCATACCAGGAATCAATGCTTTTCTTCTAGTTTTCCCAAAAATGTCAAGGTGTCCAGTCACACCCCTACCCCAGCCCTACCCTTAGGATACTGGTGGGGACCTGGCTAAGCAAGGGTTGCCCCAAACTATTTGCCAAAATTTAGGCTTTACCTGTTTAAAACACTTTTCATCTCAAAGCTGTCTCTACTTAGAATTTATGAAAATCCACTCAAGGATAAAATATAAGTTTTATAATATAAGCATGCAACTGATGGGATAGGTGGGGCATTCCAGGGATGGGAATAAAACGGAATTACTGGACTTCCCTGGTGGCGCAGTGGTTAAGAATCTGCCTGCCAATGCAGGGGACACAGGTTTGAGCCCTGGTCTGGGAAGATCCCACATGCCGTGGAGCAACTAAGCCCGTGCGCCACAACTACTGAGCCTGCGCTCTAGAGCCCGCAAGCCACAACTGCTGAAGCCCGTGCCCCTAGAGCCTGTGCTCCTCAACAAGAGAAGCCACTGCAACGAGAAGCCTGCACACCACAACAAAGAGTAGGCCCCGCTCGCCGCAACTAGAGAAAGCCTGCCTGCAGCAGCAAAGACCCAATGCAGCCAAAAATAAAAAAATATAAATAAATACATAAATTTATTTTAAAAAAACTGAATTACTTCCTCAGATTTATAAGCATTGTTGCTTAGGCCTTTAATATGTATCATGCCCTCTTAGGAAAGATTTTTAGGGTAGAGAGAGAAAGAAAAACAGATTATAGGCAAGAAACAACTGGATTTATCTGAAGGAAGAACAGAGTGAATAACTAGAAAAAATTTCAATATGAAGAGATTTTATACAGGTGCTTTCTTTCAGTTATTTGACCTGAGGTCATGAAAACATAAATAACGGTATGAACTACATGCATGCTGGTAAGAATCACTTGATGGCAAATTGTGAGCTGAGGAATGCATTAGGAATGGACTTTGAGGTCTGCCTTCGGTGATCTTTCAGAAAAAGGTTGATGATGTTCATGTTACTACATCTTCAAATATATCAGAATCAGACTTGAGTCTCCTTGTTCTTTTGTTTTAACAATTACCATCGTGGAATGCTGTTTTTAAGGGAAACCAAATTCTTGGCCTGAACAGCCTGTGTAATTTATGTAATTTGCTATTAGTTGCCCAGCTATACCAGTTTTCACCAGAGGTGAAAACTCGACACTCAGGAGAAATTCACTTCCTGGGAACCCTGCAATGGGTGTGTGATAACGGCACATGGTAGTTTTCTCCTTGTTGAGAGTGACCTGAACTCTTTACTGTGTCTGAAACCACAGATTCACTAGCTAGTTGTACATCTCCAGATTTGGGTCCATGCTGAGGAGTTCCTGAGCTCCACTCCTTTCTCTTCTGATGCTTTGTTGTCCTCTTTGTATAACTCTTGAAACTCCTCAGAGAGTTGGGCTGTAGTACTTCATTTTTCCACTGGATCCCATGACCTAATGCATATTGAACACTCATCTTAAAAATTCCAGACTCTTGGAAAGGAATCAGAAATTTCAGAACTCATCAACCCTGCTCACTAAATCGTTGAAGAAACTTATTTTGCAATAGTTCAGTGACTTGTCCAAAGTCACCTGGTTAGTCAGTGGGTGTTCATTCTGCAAGGTCACACTGCCGCCCCCCCCCGCCCCGCTTTTTAAGCAAAATAAAATGTGGAATACAGAAAAACAGTGTCCTGGGAGTTAAGACAGCTGAGTTTCACTCTTAACTCTGTGTCTGACTCACTGAATCTATCAAGTTACTTAAGTTCTGTTTTGTTTTCTTAAAAAAAAAAAAAAGTTAGACAAGAGACAGTTTCTAAATTCCTCCACCATGCTAAGTTTTATGAATTCTGTACTGTATTACACCTGTAAATATGTGGTTCTTTTTAATCAGGTGATTTGGGATTGGAAAATCAAAAATTTCTGGGACCACTTGGGAACTATCAAGAAGCATGGATGATATTTACAAAGTGATTAGAATGAAATAAATTGAATTTACCAGGGACCTGGATGAGAAGCAAGGTCTGGTTCTTTCCTGTTTTAACAGTGATGAAATTAGTTGTTGGTTTTAGGACAAGCCTCTTTGTTCTCAGTTTCCTCGTGTATAAAACGAGGGGGCCTAGCTCGATGGTCCCCAAAGTCCTTTCTAGCTCCAAAATTCTGTTTGGTCCCTGGTTTGTTCAC